CCAACAGCCGGCCCCGCCCACCTTCCCGGCACTGCGGCTGCGCGGGGACGCACGCGACGCAACCCCCGCCCGCGACTCGGGAGACGGTGAGCGGGCGGGACAAAATTGGCTTAGGAGCACACAGCGCGGCTCTTCCTAGCCCTATTCGCATGGTGGTCGACCCCGGGACAGGGGCTTGTCCGGGCGCTCCAATGCGGAAGACTCAGCTCCTCAGTGTAAAGGCCATCTCTTCATGCTTTTGTGGTCTGTACCTAGTCTAACGGGCAAGGTACCCACGTTCTTCAGGTACACATCCTACACTAAGGAAACTACCAGACCAGTCTCAAGGAACGAGGGGTTTGAGTTCAGTGGAGAAGCTATTCCAATCTGTGTTAATCATTCAAGCTCGGGTTGACTATTTTGTGCTAGAACGCTACACCAGAGTGCTTTCTGAAGCCACCCGGAAACAGGAACAGAATGATCTATGCTGAATGTGGGGGTCAGGATTGCCTTGTCAGGAGGTCAAAATGAACAGTGAGTGCCAGCGAGGTGGAAAGTTGTATGGTAGGCTAGGCTAGAACCAGATTTAGGAAGTCTGGGACATGTTTTTCTGCTGATAGAAGAACTGGATGGCAAAGAGACTATTTTTATAGCTATGGGTGTTTAGCCTGCACGCATGTCACCACATGTGTGCCTAGTGCTCTCAGCAGTCAAAAGAGAGCATCAGATCCCCAGGAACTGCAGTTACAGACTGCTGTGACCTGCCACATGGGTGCTGGGAATTAAACCAGGGTCCTCTGGAAGATCAACGCGTGCTTGCTTTTTTTGTTTGTTTGTTTTGTTTTGTTTTTTGTTTTTTGTCAAGGTAGGGTTTCTCTGTGTAGCTTTGGAGCCTGTCCAGGAACTCGCTCTGTAGACCAGGTTGGTCTCTAACAGTGATCTGCCTGCCTCTGCGTCCCGAGTGCTGGGTTTAAAGGCGTGCGCCGCCACCACCACTCTTAAACCTGAGCCATCTATCCAGCTCCCTGAGACATTTTTCTCACTTCAGGTTTTAAAATTCCACACCACGTGGATCTGGTGAGATGGCTCAGTGGATAATGGAGTTTGTGGACATGCCTGATGCCATCCCTCGATCTTACATGGAAGTGAAAAATGGAGAACTGACCTCATGAAGTTGTTGTCTGATCTACACACATAAACTCCTTGCTCTACATCACACACCAACAGACACAATAATAATAATAATATAAAGTGTAGGGGGGAAAACCCACCATGTGCGTACATTACAAAACAAAACAAAAAAGAGGAAAAGGATAGAATTTAGAGATATATGAACACGTGGAAAATACAGACATCCCATTTTACTAAAAGCAGAAATGAGACAACTGGACAAGTTTGAGAAGGTTGGAAGGATTTCTGAACTCCGGTGCAGGAGAATACCAGAAAGCAGTTTGGCTGAGAGTGAAGACAGGAAGCTGGGAAACAAATGGGTAAAGAGCAGAGGCAAATGTTATGGTACTATCAGCACTCCATTCATGCCCCATCGAAATGGACCTATGGCAAATACTTATACTAACGAACTAACAATTTCTATTAATTAAATTTATTTATTTTGGTTTTTGGAGACAGGGTTTCTCTGTATAACTTTGGAGCCTGTCCTGGAACTCACTGGAACTCCCTCTGTATGCCAGTCTGATCTCTGGTTGCTGTGGGATAATGCTCTTGTACATGTATTAATTGTCACTTGTATTAATTTAATAAAATGCTGATTGGTCAGTAACCATGCAGGAATTATAGGCGGGGCGTCCAGATCAAGAGAATTCTTGGAAGAGGAAAGCAGAGTCAGTTACCAGCCAGGTGCGGAGGAAGCAAAATGAGAATGTTGCACTGAGAAAAGGTACTAAGCCATGTGGCTAAACATAGATAAGAACTGTAGGTTAATTTAAGTTGTAAGAGATAGTTAGTAATAAGCCTGAGCAATAGGTCAAACCATTTACAATTAATACAAGCCTCTGTGTGTTTCTTTGGGACTGAATGGCTGAGAGACCAGGCAGGACAGAAAATTCTGTATTCACCCAGTACTAGGTTTAAAGGCATGTGCCAGCATTGCCCAGTCAACTGATAATTTTGATACTTAAAAAATACATGATTTCTGAAAAAAAAAACGAATAATAATTACATATTTAGACTCCTAGGTAAATGTCTTTACTGAATTGCCTGTATTAACTTTCAAGTCAGCCAGGTGAGGTGGCGCACTCCAGTAATCCAAGCTCTTGGGAGACAGAGAAAGGATATTACTAAAGTATGAAGGTAGCCTGGTCTGCACTGTGAGTTTCAGGCCTGCCAGGTCTGTGCAGTAAGATAGTTATTGCTGTTCTAAGAAAGCAGAAATAAAACCAAAATACTTCTGACCCTTCCATGTAGGTTAATATCTTTTGAGAAAGAAATAACCAATAAATTTTTACTATTAAGAATATCCAGAGCTACTGAATCCAGAGTTTCCCTGTTATTCAGTTGACAGGCATAGAATTACCATCTTAAAAAAAAAATGAAACCTGATAATTTAAGAGACAGAAGATAGCCATGTACATACATGACTTTGAAAACTGAGGCAAGGGCAAGTTTGGACTAGGCTAAGTTAATAGTGAGACCTTGTCTAAAAACCAAAAGATAAAAGACAACTCCAAGCTTTCAGACTTGGATAAATAGGAAAATGATAGCATTAATAAAATGGGGATGGGAAAACTATGTCATCAGTTTAAATGATAAGATCTTAATGTTTTTAGACATAGAGAGTAGTACCAGTACCTCTTAGGGAAAAACATTATAGTAAGGAAGTTACCTTCCAGTAAGTCTATCTAATTACAGAAGAAAGTACAAGGAAGGCTGGGGAAATAGCTCAATTGGCAAAGCACATACATTGCAAGCACACGGTAAAATTATATATAATAAGCACATTATCAGGTAAGACGTACATTTACAATGTCCAGTCCGTTTGTATTTGGCAATTTCGTAGAAAATAACCTATCCTATCTTGATGAATTCAAAGTTTTATACCTAAACCACTTTTTAATCACAACTTATTACTATCATAAAAATATCTTTTTAGTCCTTAAAAGTAAGATAAAAAAAGATAAACAAGTTTTTATGTTTTAAACCTTATAAACTTTACATCTCATATGTAATTTTTTCTCAGTTTGGTAACAAAGAAAACTGTAAAACTATAACTATTTAGTCTTCAACCCCATCAAAGACCTGACATGGATGTAATATTATCTGAGTACACAAGAGATGCAGAACAAGCAACATCTAAAACTACAGAAATGTCAGAAATAGCTGGCTGCCTAGACTACCACTCAAGCTTCTTCTGCAACTTCAGGGCATCCAACTTCGGCCTACAAACCTAGAATATCTGACAGGCTTTTTGTGAAGCAGGAAATACTTGTGCTACCTTGTCTTGGCAGTTTGGCAGTTGCCTTCTTTTGTGTCCTGCTTGCCCAATTTGGACATTATACTGTCAGCAATCAAGGCAAGAGCAGTTTCTTGCCCAGTGACTAACTTTGCCACAAGAAAAGCAAACTCCATATGAAGGTTCTTTGATGCCCATCACCCTTTTTTGTGGAATGGTACTTCAAGGAGATGTGTCTTACTGTCATAAAAGGCCTTAGGTTATTAAAACATTAAATGCTCCATATTCTCTGGGTCTCTGAAGTGTTTGAATACCATCTGTCTAACTAAAATATATGTTTGACCTTGAAAATATATCTAACATGGCCACAAATCTGATTGTTCGATGACTCCTACTAACCTGTATTTCTTAATTTTCCTAAATAGTTTGTAATAGCAACTTTCAAAGACTAGAAATATACATTACATTGATAAATGTGCTGCATAGGTACAATACCTTAAAGGTAGAAACATAAAATTAATCTAAATTTGTATCAGTTTATAATATCTTAACAATAGAAACATATATGGTATATTTTCTAACAAAAATAACCTCAAATTTGTATCGATATATAAAAATCCCGACCAATGTAAAGTATTTGAGATTAATAGTTGCATTTTAACTTAAAAGTATATGCAATAATCTGCTCTATCCTATCATTCCTATCTCCCCTTTTTCTTTTCAGAATGAGATCCTTGATTCTAACCTCCCTTGCTTAGTTTTCTCCCTTCACCATGATCAGTAACAATTTGTAGCTATCCCCCTTAAATAATGATAAACATCCATAATCCACCTAACAACCAAAAGCCACTCACTCTACCTCTTTGGAATATGGGTGTCTTATTCTTAAAACGGAAATAATGATCAAGTCCTGGAAGAGATAACTGTATTAATTTTGTTTAGTCTTTATGTGATGCAAAAGTATAGAGCTTATCTGAAGTCTTGGCTGAATAGTCTGTGAGGCTGGACCAGCTCAGCTAGCAGCTTTGAAGTTGTTCCGGATGCAGAATTTTGAGAAAATTGCAAGAACAGAGATTCTGAGAGGGTAGGTCACCTGGGCTACTTACCTTTATTGGTGCCAGTCCCTATCTCAGAAATCAGAGAAACTTTTAAAGGTAGCATACGTATCTGCATTAACACAA